CCTTGTTTACAGCTATGATTGAAGCAAAAATATCTCGATTTTAGCATCAAAATGATCAAGAAGTCATGATCTTTCATTCTTTATATGATTCAATCAGATTCGATCTTGAAAAGCAAGAAGGACCAACATGGGTTTTTATGTACCCTCTTCCTTTCTTAAACAAGGGACAGTGACCCTTCCTTAACTCCTTACAATCTGCCACTGAATTATGTTAATCTTCTAAATATAGTTTTTAGAAAAATAATTAATTTATTCTATTTCTTCTTTACGCATTCATATATTCCTTTAATCCTAGTTAATTATTTAGTAAAAACTAATGCTTCGTTAAGCATGATAAATAATCGTATAATATCATCATCCTAAAAAAATGAAAATGAAGGCTAGTCCAATGCTTCGAATCTGTATAGAATCTGAATTAATATTTTGTCGTATTGACATGTTTTTCGATCCTTTTACTATATCAGGTCTTTAGATTTGTTCAATTTAATGATCTAGGATACTTTTTTAATAATGATCCAAATACAAATGTATATATTTGAAAATACAATGAAAAAAAAACGCTCATTTTTTTATTTTAGTACAATATGAAATATTGTCGAACGGAAAAATCATTTTTCTCGTTTTCAAATAACTGATTTAAACCAACGATGACTCAGAATCATTGCATAATACTTATATAGTGCTTTAAAAAGTTTTTTAGATTAAGATTATATTCAAAAAATTCATTCCCATAGATCACACAAATAATATACTTGTCATACCACCATGACGTTGATGTTCATGTCATATGATTACTTGTAAATATCAAATATTACAGTTCATTAATGACTACTATGTTCTTGACAATCTCATTTTATTTCCGTGTTAAAGCATTGGAGTGCATAAGACCACGTATTTACTCATTACTTAGATTATTAAAATTTATGTGTGATTCAATGCAGAATTTTACATTGAGTCATTTGGTAGTGATTTCAGATCGATTTGATAATGTCTAGAGTGATGACAAAGGGTAGAACTAATAATCTTAATTTCTCATCGTAGAAAATATCATCAATATTATAAGATAACTTGCTAAGAAATTTGTACAATAATATTACTTTCATTCCCAATTGGTTTTATTAGATAGAGCATTCAACATTGCACTAATTACTATAAGAAAAAAAACAACTTAAACAATTTATCAGTGTCTTTAATTCGTTACTTCATTGTCAATCAACAGTATGTTATCTGAAAATTCAGTAGTGCTCATTAGTTTCTCGAATGATGGAGACCTATAATAACTCTTTACATACTATTCGACAGCACTATTAAAATTCAATCGATGCTGGCCATCTAAAAACTTTCAAGTACATTATTCACTAGATATGGTTTTGTGCTTTTTTTGTTACAGCTGTTTATCAGATTTTTAGTGGAAAAGTGACCATTAGAGCCAAACTAATAACAAATTTGAAATCAGCAGCAAAAACTGAATTCTACTAAACTATTTCTTTTACTGTTTAGTAATCTGTCATTTTTTTACTGAATCCTGACGTAGATCCGACTGAATTTTTGTTATTAGTTTTGGCTCCAACGTTAAGTTTTCCACTAAAAATCTGGTCAACAAATGTAAATAAGACATAAAATCATGTCTAGTGAATAATGTGTTTGAGATTCCTTAGGAGGCTAATATTCGTTGAGTTTGAAAGATGTATGCTTTTGTAGCGTTTGAAAAGTGCTGTCGAGTTGTATATTGTAAGAGTTATTATAAGTCTTCACCATTCAAGAAACCAATATGTGTAGTATCGAATTTTCAGCTACCATACCACTGATGCCAATGAAGTAACGAACAAAAGACACTGATAAGTTGTCTGAATAGTTTTTTTTCTTATATTAATTAGTGCAACATTGAATGCTTTATCTGATGAAATCAATCGGAAAGGAAAGCAATATTACCGTACAAAGTTCTTAGCAAGTTATCCGACAATATTGATAACACTTTCGATAATGAGGAACTAAGATCAGTATTTCTAGCCTTTATCATCACTCTAGACATTATCAAATCAATCTAAAATTACTACTAAACAACTCAACATAAAATTCTGCATCGAATTATACATTAATTTTAATAATTCAAGCAATGAGCAAATGTATGCTCTTATATACCCACGTCTTTTACATATGATTATATCAAGAATAAAACAAGTTCAGTTATCATAAAAATCTTCTTTTTCTTGTTTTAAGTTCGATTACTTTTTATAAATATTCCTCATTTATTTAAATGTTTGTAAAGATTTATACAAACAAATCATGATAAGTGCGAATTTTATTGATTTAAATTAAAAATTTAATTACAAATAAAGCACACATACACAACATGATAATTAATTGTTCTTAAATAACAAGTTCATTTTTTTTTGTCCAACTTTGATCTTTAGCTTGTTGAATAGCATTTGTTAAATGATGAAACCAAACAATATATTCATTTGTATGTTCAAAACGTAAATGTACACGCATCATTTTAACCGATGAATGTTTTGATGATTTACTCATTGTTCCAGCTACAACTAAACGTAATTCTTCATTTGAACGATCTTCTTGTACATGTACAACATTTGCTAAAGATACACTTGATGTCAATGATGAACATATATTTGTTCGATCAATTCGAGTAAATAAAAGTCTTAAATCTGATAATTCAATTCGTTTCTATAAGCAAAAAATAAAAAATAAAAGATAAACATTTATTAAAGTAAATTTTTAAAAACCTTACAGGTTCCCATGGTTCTCTATTTGTACGTTGAAGAACAATAGTTGATGTGATTTCTGGTTGTATAGTTGTATCTTGTGATGTTTCAAGTGTTACATTCGGTGCACAATAAATTGATGATTCTAATGTTGATATTGTATTATCATGTTGAGTTATATCTGATGGTTGAAGAATAACATGAGTTTGTCGTGCAAGAAATCTTATATCTTAAAAAAGAAAACAATAATCAATTATTAAAATTTATTTTCTTTCTTTTTCTTATCTACCTTCTATAATTTTCCAATCAATACTATTTATAATAGGTGGATGTTCAATAATTTCTGATTGAAATAAATCATTTAAAAGACAAATATGTCGAATTGGTAATAGAATAAATTCAGTAATTTCTCGTGTTATATATTCAATCGGAATCTAGCAAAAAATTATTTTGAATTAATAATCATTATTTTATTTAAAATATTTACTTGAAGGCAATAAGCTATTTTATTTTGACATTGTTTTAATGTTGTTTGAGCTTGTACACTACGTGAAAAATATGAATTATATGAATCAATCATAACACCAGACTAGCAAAACGAAAAAAAAGAAGATTTATATACAAAATTTCTTTGAAGAAAACTTTTTTCATACCCATGATTGATAAATAAGTGAAATTGGTATATTTGATATATTTTCTGTATCAAGTAATTTTTCACATTGACGAACAATTGATTCTGATATAGCAGAAATCTAA